CCACTGCACTCCAGTCTGGGTGTTAGAGTGAGACTCCAACTAAAAAAAAAAAGTTTTTATTTTATACTGGGTACGGTGGCTCACACCCATAACCCCAACACTTTGGGAGGCTGAGGTGAGAGGATTGCCTGAGCCCAGGGGCTCAAGACCAGCTTGGGCAACTTGGGAAGACATCATCTCTACAATAAATAAAAAAATTGGGTAGGTATGGTGGTTCACGCCTGTAGTCCAGCTACATGGAAGGTTGAGGAGGAAGGATCACTTAAGCCCAGCAGGTAAAGGCTGTGGTGGCCGTGAGCGTGCCACTTCACTCCAGCCTGGGCAACAGAGTGAGACTCCAACTCAAAAAAAAAAAAAAAAAAATTTTTATTTTATTTTTAGAGATGGGATCCTGATATGTTGCCCAGGGTGGTCTCAAACTCCTGGCCTCAAGTGCTCCTCCTACCTCAGCCTCCTAAAGTGCTGGGAGTAGGGGCATAAACCACCACAACCAGCCAATTTCTTCTGTTTTTAACCTCAAGGTCCCTTCTGCTAAACTTCTAAGCAAGTGTATGATTACAAAATGTTACTTAAATATTGAAAGCCTCAGGATTAAAGGTATATTCTTTCCAATAAAATCTTCCTAAATCTACTCCATTGAAGCATAAGGGTTGATTCAAAGATGGTAGCAACCCAAAATACAAAAAATATACACATATCTCAAAATAATGCCACTTGGCAATCATAAAATATACAATTACATACATATACCACAAAGTTGTGCATTATTAGATGTAGAATCGCCAAATGCACTTACTGAGAAATCGTGTTGGTATCTAGGTCAACACAACTGACATCTGGTGGAGGATCATAGAGATCAAAGTATCGCGAATCAATTCCCACGATGAATGGACAAGGTGCGCTCAAGACATCTGCCAGTGCCAGCGGGCAGAGAGGGACATACGGGCATGGCCAGTGGAAAGGGAAGATCATCTTGGACAAGCAAGAGGTAGGAAAGCATTTAGCCTTCTGACACTGAGGATAATTTATTAGCACACACACACAAACTGTCTTTTAAGTATTCCCTAAAGTCTAGTGCTTAATAATGAATTCAATAAGTATAACTAGAGTTAGTGGTCAGTAATCAAAACTGCTTTCACGAAATGCAATTTCATTACTCTCTGAATTTTAGTTAAGCATTTAAATAGCTTTAAATTGTATGAATAAATTAATTTTAAACTAAATTGATTGCCAATAAAAAACTGATACTCACAGACACTAATGCTTCTGTCACACTAGTAAGCACGGAAGGCCGTAAGGAATGGATGAGAATTTTATGTTCTGTTACTGCAAATACCAGTAGTGTCACGGCATTTTCAGGGCCTAAATTCTGAAGTAGTGTTGAAAACTTACCACCACTGTCAATGCAAACAAAGGTATAAAATTTAAAGAATAAAGATCCAAACATCTTATTACCTAAAATCATGGAAGAAAGTCCATGTTAGGATATGATTTGCATTACATACTCACTTCAAGTGTGACTACTCTTTTTTTTTTTTTTTTTAACTACTTTTATACAGAGAAAACACAGCATCACAAACATACTATGAAAAGAATGCAAGGCCTGATGCAGTGGCTCAATCCTGTAATCCCAGCACTTTGGGAGGCTGAGGTGAGAACAGCCTGGGCAATTTGGTGAGAACTCATCTCTACAATAAATAAAAAAATTAGCTGGATGTGGTAGCGTGCGCTTGTAGTTGCAGTTATTTGGAAGGTTGAGGCGGAAGGATCACTGGAGCCTAGCAGGTCGACACTGGGGTAGCTGTGACTGTGACACTGTACTCCAGCCTGGGTCACGAAGTGAGACTCCAACTCAAAAAAAAGAAAACAATGCAGTTCTAGGAGCAAAATCGTCCTTCTGCACAGTACCCAATACAGAAAATGAAAGGCATCTGTTTCATTTTATATAAAAAGATCTGCCATGTAGACAACAACTACATAAATAATTCAACTTATAAAAAAGGATGCTTTGGTTGAAAGCAACTCCTTAAATGGAAGTTTTTGAACACGGTATACATCTTCCACTATAATTATCAGAATAACTATATGACTTACAGCTTCACTTCCTTTAAGGTAAATGCATGTATTAAACCCTGAGTTTGTCAGGCGCGGTGGATCATGCCTATAATCTCAGCACTTTGGGAGGTGGAGGCGAGAGGACTGCCTAATCCCAGGGGTTCAAGACCAGCCTGGGCAACTTGGCGAGAGCTCATCTCTACAATTAAAAAAAAAATTAGCTAGGTGTGGTGGCATGCACCTGTAGTCCCAGCTACTTGAAAAGCTGAGGTGGAAGGATCACCTGAGCCCAGCAAGTTGAGGCTGCAATGGCTATGAGCATGCCACTGCACTCCAGCCTGGGGGACTGAGTAAGACTCCAAATCAAAAAACAAATAAAAATAAAACCTGGGTTTACAGTATTACCATCATAATGATAACAATAATAAAAAAAACCAGGAGCTATAACATAATGAGATACACATACAAAGCAAGTTAATAACCAAGACAATAAACTTAAACCTTCTATGTAGTAACAAAATGCTGGATTGATAAAGTAAGTTAGTTCGTAAGTCAACTGGTATTTTGTTTACATAATGCTAAATAACTGGTTTCACTGGATTAATTTTTTTTAATAAGCCAAAATTAACAACAAAATCTCTTGAGAAATGAAAGCATATGTCTACAAACAAGATGTGTATGCTCTCGGTGGCATTATTAATAATAGCCTAAATGTAGAACATCCCAAATGTCCATCAATTGATAAATAAATAAAATGTAGCATAGCCATACAATTAAATGTTCTTTGATAATAAAAAGAAGTAAAGTATTAATACATGGTGTAAATGGATAGACCTTGAAAACATTAATCTAAGTGAAAGGAGGAAGACTATACATTGTATGATTCCATTTAGATGAAATGTCCAGAACAGGCAAATCTATAGAGATGGAACGTAGATAAGTGGCCGCCTAGGGCTGGAAAGGGTGGTGTACGTGTTAGGACTAAAGGGATGAAGGGGATTAAGGAAAGTGTTCTAAATCCATCATAGTGAAGGTGCAGAACTCTGTGAATGCATCTCCTGAACTGTACATGTTAACTGGGTGAACTGTATGGTATTCTATTACCCCAAAATAGTCCTTTGGTTAAGCTGGAATCATTTATACATAATATTTAATGTATAAATGATTCCAGATTAACCAAAGCCCAGTCAATATTTCTAATTTGTTTTCTGCTCAAAGGCTAAGAAAACACTGGCTACACTGGGCTGAGAGTTCATGAGGAAATAATCTGCAATTCTTATAAAATTAATGTCAAAGACGGCACCTGGTCTCTTAGGTATGTTACTACATAATAACTTAATTACATTGTAATTATTTCTGTAACAGAAAAATGACATAGATAGTTGGCTTTCAAGAAATGATACTGGGCCTGGCTCGGTGGCTCAGTCTGTAATCCCGCACTTGGGAGGCTGAGGTGAGTGAATTTCCTGAGCCTGCGGGTTCGAGACCCGCCCGGGCAACTTGGCGAGACCTCATCTCTACAATACATCAAAAAAATTTGCCATATGTAGTGGTGCACACCTGTAGTTCCAGCTACTTGGAAGGCTGAGGCGGAAGGATCACCAGAGCCTAGCAGGTTGAGGCTGTGGTGGCCGGGAGCTGCACTCTAGTCTAGGCGACTGAGTGAGACTCCAACTCAAAAAAAAAAAAAAAAAATGATACTGTAGAGAAAACATACATCATAATCTCTCTGGACTCTTAAGGCAATGCAATACAATGCTCTATTAGACAGTTTAATAATTATAACTTTTTAATTTGGGGTTAAATTTAAACATAACTGCAATTTTAAAATAAAAATTAACTGCATTTGAATACTAATCAGAGGATAATTAAAACTAAAAATAATTGTCCTCATAATCTACACATGTGTACACACCCACTTATTCAACAGTAAGTACTTAATGATAATAAATGTACACACAAAATACCAAACCCTATTGTAAAAGTTTATCATTTTCTTCGAAAACTGTAACACACATATTAAGTAAAAGAAATTTAGATAAGAAACAGTTAAATGAGAAGTATTTCCATCAACATTTGAAATCTTAGGAAAGAAAAAATATTTGAATGTTAATTTAGCTCACACTGTATTTAGAGAAACATAAATAGAAATGAAGTTTTACTTGCCTTAGTGGAAGAGGTGAAGAAACAGGCTGGCTGAGAATCAGATTATCATGTGGTGATAACTGGAAGATTTAAAATAAAGTATTTGGAACATAAAGATGAACTGTAAGACACCACTGCTTGTTAACCAAAGGCATGGAGCAACGATGAGGCCTGAAGCTTCACTAGGCTGGTTTACAGATGAAGCGTAGTTCATGTCACTCTCAGAGCCCTGAAAGTAGTTCCTGACCCTCCTGACCCCACCATGAGAGTATTTTACTGTGAACCTAGCTCTGTCCTTCTGTCCCCAAGTGCTTCCTAGATGCCCTTTCAACAAGCTCATACTGAAAGACTAAGTTATTCATTTAATACATGAAATAGGGTCAGCACACCTCGGGCCTGCAGGCAAGTCCACAGGCTGCCTGCTTCTCTTGCCTCAGCCAGCCATGCTCGCGAGTACTCAAGCTGCTCCGCACCATCAGAGCAGAGCCGAGTGCTGGTGGAGACCATATGGCCTATAGAGACTAAACGCTGAGGCTATGGTCCAAAGACAAAAAGGATGGCAAATTTCCACAAAAACCAACTTTTGTGTGTATTCAAACTGACTGTTTATATATCTTAAGGCACTAAATATCAGGATACAAGGCGGAGATGACATGTGGATGTTCACACTGATTATACAGCTTATTAAAATGAGATTTCCCTAGATATTTTACTTGTATCAATATAATAATGCCGCTGCTTTTATCTATATTTTCAAATATATGCACACACAGCTGTTCCTTATATCTATTCTTTTTTTTTTTGAGACAGGGTTTCACTTTGTCACCTAGGCTGGAGTGCAGTAGTACAATCATAGATCATTGCAGCCACAACCTCCTGGGATCAAGTGATCAGTGTATACCACCACACCCAGCTAATTTTGATTTTTTTAGAACAGGGGTCACTATGTTGCCCAGGCTGGTCTCAAACTCCTGGCCTCAAGCAATCCCCTAGCCTCGTTATATCAATTCTAACACATTTAACTTACTAAATGATTGCCAAAGGCACAAACTTTGAAATACCTAGAAAAAATTTAGGGGAAAAAGTCTCTTTCTGTGTGTTGGAAATGTCTACTTTAATTTACTTCTTTAACTCTTCAATCCATTCTCTAAGGGCAAAACAGGACATGTCTGGGAGTTAATCAAATATAAAGGGCCCAAAACTCCAACATGGAATAACGTCTGGCTCTCTTTAAATCTCATCGATTTCCCCCCCCATTCAAAATTGTTATTCTTATGCTACATTTTGACAGAGCAAATAATAATTCATAGGGTCCCCATATAAGAAAAACCTTACCTGAACCAAAATCCGTGGTCTCTGAGGAGATGGAAAAGGAACTTTATGCATAAAATGAGAAATATGCCTTGAAAACAAACAAAAATGCCAGTGATTACAACATGACTACCACATGCTATAAGGGTCAACATGTCATCACAAGTTCAAGTTGAGTCAAAAACCTATAATACGGAAGTTCCTAATACCATGAAAACAAATGATCAAATAAACAAAAATCATCGTCCCATTAAAGTTTTTTCTATCTAAATCCAGTAACTTTTCACATTAATAGCTGTTCACATTCAACAATGCTTGTGTATCACTGTCTCAAAAATCGGTTTGGTTTTTACCTTTCCCTAGGTAGATAATACAACATGTCACCAAAGGCGCTAATCCTTATATTAATAATATATTAAGTCAACTGCTCATATTTATAAGTAAAACAACTATTTAAGGTGCTCCAGAAAAATGAGAGTTTAATTGCTTCCAAAAGGTGAACAGTATACTTGTATACAATTGCATACAGTTACTGATTGTGTAATTTTTTTCCCAGAATAAAATGGATAAAAAGCTAGATCAATGGGTCTTGTTTTAAACACTATGGAGCAGAAAAAAGGCAACCATACTTAAAAACTATTATTTTTTTTAAGGAATAAGCTATTTTATTTCTAAATTTTTAAAAACATTATCTCAAAATCAATTTGGTCTCAGAATTGAGATAATTTCAACTGAATAGAGGATACCAGACGAAAAACATATTAATTTAAAAACATGTTGTAACTGTTTACTGTGTATAAGATGCCATCAGACATGATGGGAAATATAGAAAAGGCAGGAAGCTACCCACTGCTAGCACTAAGGTGTTCACCAATCCTTGGGTTACAAAGCATGAGAACAATAGAAGCCAAGTGTGAGGCCTTCAAGATCCATTCAGGGAGGGTCAGGAGGTCTAAAGTGTTTTCAAATAACACTGAGATACCATTTGCTCTTTTCAAGGTACTAGTGTTGTTGTGTTCTTTACTACTATACACTCAGTAAAAGAATGTCCATTTCACTTAAGAATGCCTTTGACAAAGCAGGAATTTTGTTTTTTGGTAGGGATGTGCCTGGGGGGAGAGTCTCACTATGTTATTCAGGGTGGTCTTGAACTCCTGGCTACAAGTGAATCTCCCATTTCAGCCTCCTAAGTGCTGGGTGCCCAGCCAGTAAACAGTATTAATTTTATCAAATTTTGACTCTGCAGTGTGCATTTTAAAATATTCTGTGTGATAAACAGGATGTCTGCATGAAGCACTTCACCATATAAAGAAGAACATTTCCTCATTGTAGAAATGCACTTGGGTAACTGAGGTGTGAGTGAATTCACAGTTTTTTACTTTTTCAGAATAAAATTTTTGTTTGAAAAAAATGACTGACAAATGTCATCAGACATGATGGGATCCAGTGTTGAGTATTCAGCAGATATTTTCTTTTTTTTAATTTAAAACTGATTTAATGAGCCTAAGTTTCACTGTATCAGCTGTGCATACTTAGACATGCATCGCTTAATCTGAGACAGATATTTTCTATATAAAATGAAAAAAATTAGCCTGTTGTTTTCAGAAAAATAACCAACAGCACTTGTTGCCAATAATTAAATCCAAATTTTCAAGTAAAAATCAGAATTTTGCTACCATGAGCTTGACAGCTCCTTAATACTCACAACTTTTCTGAAAAGACAGGTGGTGATATTAACAAGCTTGATTTTTTATACTGACAAGTAACTGTGTAACTGTGTCTACATTTGAAAGATGTATTTAACTCAGTGAATGAGTATTTTTCAAATGACCAATGCACAAAGCTACAAAATCATGCATAAGTAAAAGTTTCACCCACAGATTTCAACGGAACTGACAAAGAAAGTCCATTGCAAAAGTTTCAGATTCCACACTGCAAATAACTTGTAAGAAACTACCACCTGTCAAGCTTTGGTGCAGTGTCAAAAAAAGAACATTCACAATTTTCTAAAAAGACTATTCAGAATTCCTCCCTTTCCCACCTACATAGTTGAATGAGGCCAGATTTTCTTCACATACTGGAACAGATTGAATGCAGAACCATATATGGGAACCAGCTATGTCCAATTAAACCAGACATTAGAGATTTGCAAAAATCTAAAAAAACAATGCCATTCTTCTTACTATAAACTTTTTTTGTTTTAGAAAAGCTATTTTTCAAAAAATATATTTATATTAACATGTAATGGGTTTGTTATTTTAACAATGAATTGATCCAGCAACTCCATTACTGGGTATATCTCCAAAGAAAATGAAATCAGTATGACAGAGACAGCTGCACACCCATAATTATTCAGAACAGCCAAGATGTGAAGACAATCTAAACGCCCTCTACAAATGAATGGATAAAGAAAATGTGGTGTATATACACACAATGAAACACAATTTTGCCATAAAAGAGAATGAAATCTGGTCACTTGTGGCAACATGGATGAACCTAGAGGACACTGTGTTAAATGAAACAAGCCAGGCAAAGAAAGACAAGCACCACATGATCTCTCTTGTGTGGACGCTAAGAAAGCTGATCTCATAGAAGCAGAGAACAGAACAGTGGTTACCAGAGGCTGAGGAGGAAAGAAGGAAGGAAGGGCCATGAGAAGTTGGTAAACAGGTAGAAAATCACAGTCACAGGAGTAAGTTCTGGTGCTCTACCACACAGTAGGCTAACTGTAGCTAATAACAATGTAGTGTGTACTTAAGAGATCTAGAAGAAAAGACTCTGAATGTCACTACTACAAAGAAGTAATAAATATTTAAAAGAAATCGATACGGTAATTATATTGATTTGATCACTATACTATATATATATGCACTGAAACATCACACTGTACCCCATAAATATACACGATTATGTCAATTACAAATTTTTAAAATAAAGAATTTTAAATAAGAAAAAATAAATTAAATATATATATATATATATATATATATATATATATATATATATATATACT